ATGTTGGCCAAGGCCCTCATGGCTGAACTCCAAGCCATGACAGCGGGCTGGTTCAAGGCACCCCACCATCCCCCCCCCCCCCCACCCCCCCCCCCCCCCGCCCCCTCCCCCACCACCCCCCACTCCCCCCCAACCCCGCCCCCCCCTCCCCCTCATCCCCACCCCACACCCCCCCCCCCCCTCCGAGCCCCCCCCCGCCACCCCCACCCCCCCACCCCATTATCCCGGTGGCTGGTTGTTAATTGTCATTGACTTTGCAGCCTTCGTGTGTGTGTGTTTGTTGTTCGTGAAGTGCAAGTGCGCGCGCGCGTGGGCGGGTGTTGAACTAACAACAAATGATATCAAATTCGTTTATTCCTTTGAGGGTGTTTGGTGCAGGCATTTTTTTTTGTGTTTTTTTTTTTTTTTTTTTTTTTTTTTTTTTTTTTCTTTTTTTTTTTTTTTTTGTTTTTTGTTTTTTTTTTTTTTTTTTTGGGGGGCACACGGGGATTTTGTGGTATTGTATTTATTTATTTTATATTTGTTTTTAATTATTATTTTTATTTTGTCTACTTTCTTTTTCTTTCTTTTGACTTCTTTTTCTCACCTTTTTTTACTTTCATTTCCTTTTTTTTCTTTTTTACTTACTCTTTTTTCGCTTTCTCTCTGTTTTTATCTTTTCTTTTATCTTCTTCTCCGGTTTCTCTCCTTTTCTTCTATTTGTTTAAATCTTTCTTTTTTCTTTTTTTCTTCTAGTCAATCTTTCTCTCTTCCCTATTTTCTTTTCCACCTTTCTTCTTTTCTTTTATCAATCTTTCTCTCTTCCTATTTTTCCACCTTTCTTCTTCTCCTCTATCAATCTTTCCCCTCTTCCCTTTCTTTTTCACCTTTCTCCTTTCTTTTCTTTTATCAAATCTTTCTCTCTCCCTTTCCTTTCCTCCACCTTTCTCTTCTTTCTTCCTCTCCCCCTTCTTTCCCTTTCTTTTTCACCTTTCTTCTTTCTTCTTTCTTCTCTTCCCCTTCTTCCCACATTTCTCCTTCTTTTCTTTTATCAATCTCTCTCTTTCTCCTCTTCTCCTTTTTCCACCTATTCTTCTTCTTCCTCTTTATTCAATACTTTCTCTATCCCTTTGCCTTCTCTTCTTCTCTCACCCCTTCTTTTTCCCTTCCTTTTCACCTTTCTTCTTTTCTTCTTCTACTCTCCCCCTTCTTCCCACGTTCTCTCCTTATTCTTTTATCAATCTCTTCTCTCTCTCTTCCTTTTTCTACCTTTTCTCCTTCTCTCTTTTATCAATCTTTCTCTCCTCCCTTTTTCTCCTTCCTTCCTCTCCCCCTTCTTTCCCTTTCTTTTCACCTTTCTGCTTTCTTCTTCCTCTCTCCCCCCTTCTTCCCACGTTTCTCCTTCTTACGTTTCTTTTATCAATCCTCTCTCTCTCTCTTCCTTTTTTCCCACCTTTCTCCTTCTTCTCTTTTTATCAATCTTCTCTCTCCCGTTTCTTCTTTCTTCTTCTCTCCCCTTCTTTCCCTTTCTTTTCCCACCTTTCTCCTTCCTCTCTCCCCCTTCTTTCCCACGTTTCTCCTTCTTTTCTTTTATCAATCTCCTCTCTCTCTTCTTCCTTTTTCCACCTTTCTTCTTCTCTTCTTTAATCAATCTTTCTCTCTCCCTTTCTTCTTCTTCTCTCCCCTTCTTCCCTTTCTTTTTCCACCTTTCTTCTTCTCTCTCCCCCTTCTTCCCACGTTTCTCCACATTCCTTCTTCCTTCTTCTAGCGCGTATGAAAAAACCGCCCCGTAAAAAACGTAAAGGGAAAATTATAACTTGTTTATTTTTTCAACCTTTCTTAACATACGTCGCAGCTACGGGCCATCGGGGAGGGGTGGGGGTGGGGTGGGGTGGGGGAGAATCGCCCTCGTATAGTTTCGATACACCGACTCGACTTGGGGGGGGGGGAGGGGAAGTGTGTGTGTGGCGCGCACCAATCACAACCCTTGCTGTGTGCTGGTATTATGTGGTGGTGTGATTGTCATCTCTTGTGTGTGTGTTGAGTGATTGGACTTGTGTGTGTACTGTGTGTGTGTGTGTGATTTCTTGTGTGTGGTGTGCCTGTGTGACCATACTGTGTGTGTGTGTGTGTGTGTGTGTGTCACAGGGGCGCTTGTTGCTCGTTACTGAAGGGAGAGGGAGAGAGAGAAAGGGAGAGGTGAGGGGAGGAAAGGGGGAGGAAGGGGAGGGACGGGATATAGGAGCAGGAAGATAGGAGAAGAAAAGGAGAAGAAGGAGAGAGGGAGAGGAGAAAGTGAGAAGGAGTTTTTTAGAGAGGGAAAGAGGAAAGGAGGAGAGGAGAGAGAAGAGGAGAGAGGAAGGAAGAGGAAAGGGTGCGTTAGGAGAGCGGAGAGATGGAGGAGGAGGGAGGAGGGGAAAGAGAGAGGAGAGGGCGGAAGGGGAAAGAACCGGGTCTGGAGGGAGAGGGAAAGGAGGATTAGGTAGGAAAAGACGCCGATGAGGGAATAAATGCGTAGGGAGAAGGAGAGGTGTCGGTCTCGAGGACAAAAAAAAACAAAAAAAAAAAACAAAAAAAAAAAAAAAAAAAAAAAAAAAAAAAAAAAAAAAAAAAAAAAAAAAAAAAAAAAAAAAAAAAAAAAAAAAAAAAAAAAAAAAAAAAAAAAAAAAAAAAAAAAAAAAAAAAAAAAAAAAAAGCATTTACACGGTTCGCGCAGCCCCCAGGCAGCTCGGACTACATCATAAGCAGAAGAGGTACCAAGTGAGGCAAAAGTAAGAGGAATTAACAAGTATAATAAGAAGTAGCAGAGTATAGTTAAGATAATTAGTAGTGAGTAAGAACATAGCCAACATAAGCAAAGTAGTGAGATAACATTGAATAATAGAAGTAGTAGTAGTTGAGTAGTAAAGTAGTAAATTAGTAAGTTAGTAATCATAGCAACATAAAGCAATAGAGAGAGTAACATCAATGAGATGAAAAAGTGGCATAGGAGGAGAAGTATAGTATGAAGTTCAGAAGGAGGTAGGGGTAAGTCGATAGCAGAAAGATCTATTAAGTAGTCACGCTGGAGCAATGTAATAAACAGAGAAGTCAGTGTACTGTAGTATAGAATGTAAGAGTAGTAGTAATCATAGCAGCATGCGTAGTAGTAGTAGCAGCAATAATAGAAGTAGTCGTAGTAGTAGGTGAGTAGGCGATAGCAGGGAGAAAGAGTCAGTGGAAGTAGTAAGGGAGAAGAAGATAAGAGAGAGTAAAGCGAAGTGAGAAATAAATAAGGAAAAAAAAGATGTTGAGTAAAGCGTAGTAAGTGAGTATTATCAGATGAACGGAGAAGGCATGAAGAAGGAGCAATAAGAAAGTATGGCGAAGTAGTTGAGCCAGAGTGAGAATAGTAGAAAAGGTTCGAAGGCGAGAGACATATAAAATTTAAGAAGAAGTAAAAAAAAGAAGTGGATAGATCGGTAGAGTAGTCAAGCAGGAGGAAGTAGTAGTAGCAGCAGTCAATAGCAGCAGTAGTAATAGTAAGGGTCAGTCAGTGGAATAGTGAATTGCATAAGGCAGCAAGCAAAGTTAGTGTAGCAGTAATACATAGAAGTAGTAGAGTATAGTATCATAGCAGCAGTAGTAGTAGTAGTAGCAGCTAATAATAGAAGTAGTAGTATAGTAGTCATAGCAGATAGTAGTAGTAGTAGCCGAGTAATAATAGAGTAGTCGTTGAAGTAGTAGCAGTCATCAGCAGGGAGTAGAGTATAGTAATAATAGAAAGTATAGATAGTAGGTATAGTAGTAATAGCAGTAGTAATAGTAGGCAGTAGTAGCATCTTGATTCTATCGTCTTCTATTTTCCACAGACAAATCTCAGGCCTCTATTAGCGCAACCCCGACACATACTGCCAAACCCATTTTTTTTCCGTAGGCCTAACCTGTCGCAACGGTTTAGTTAGTGTGACCCCCAACCTACAACCCCTCCCCCTTAGCCCCATCCGAGATTCCCTCCCCTCACCCCCTTCTCAGACCCCCTCCCCTCAGCCCCCCAACCCGAACCTTCTTCCCTCTCTACCCCTACCCCCCCCCCAGCCCCTACTTCTGCTGCACTAGACCTCTTACCCCCTCTCTCCCCAACCAGAATCCTTCTCTCTCTGACCCCCAAAACCAAACCCTTTCCCCCTCAGGCCTTTAAACCGCCAACCTAAACCTTCCTCCCCCTTTAGAAACCCCACTTCCTTCTTACCCCCAACCCATCCCCCATCCCCTCTCTCCCCAACCCAGGATAACCCTTCCTCTCCTCTGTCCCCAAAAGCCCAACCCCTCCACCTTCATCGACCCTTAAACCCCAACAAAGAGCCTCCTCCCCCTGTAAACCCCACCTCCCCTCTACCCGCGCCAAACCCAGTCCCCTCCCCCCGGTTTCTCGCCCTACCAAGACCCTTTCCTCTTTCGCCAACTAGACCCTCTCCCTTTTTAAGGCCCTAAAACCTCCTCCCCCGTAATTAAACCCCACCTCCTCTTCCCCCAAACCCATTCCCTCCCCCTTCTCCCAAACCCAGAAAACTCTTCTCTCTCTGTCCCCAACCCAACCCTTTCCCCTCCAAGACCGTAAAACCCCCAACCTAAACCTCCTCCCCCTTTAAACCCCACCTTCCTCCTCCCCCCAACCATCCCCCTCCCTTTTCTCCCCAAACCAAGACCCCTTCCTCTGTCTGCTCCCCAACCTAGACCCCACCTCCCTTTAGCCTCTAAACCTCCTCCCCCTTAAAAACCCCACCTCCTCTACCCCCAACCCAAACCCCCCCATCTATCCTAATCCCCCCCCCCCCCCCTAGCAATGGACAACCCCGCCCCCAACGCCTCAGGAATCTACCTTATATTAGGGGATCTGTCGTAATCACGCATGGGGTACAGACGGCTGGCCGTACCCGTTTTTCGTATCCAGCGAATGGTATACTGCCTATATTGGCCATCGGGCCTCTTTTTAGTCTGGGTTCATGGGATATATCCGCCTAATGGAGTCGCCAGAAGAGATGGGAGATGACGGGAAAATACGGTAGTAAGGATCGGACGCTCTTG